TTGTTCAGTCATGTTGTTTTCGAGGTATATGTTTCGTTCGAAGTTAGAGTCGACTCTTGAACTTTAATCGTAATAGTTTTGTGTTTGGGTAATCGTTTAGCTAAATTAATAACCTAATGGTAAACACTAGGCACATTAATATGGCCATAATGGCCAAATGGCCAAAAGTAAGCACTGGGATTATTGATCGCTTTTTTTTTTTTTCGTTCTTCTTGGTTATAAATATGTTAACACCAAGAGTCAGTAATGTATAGAATTTATTGCTATGATTCAATTTGTATTAATAGATTTCTTGACCGGCCCATGTAATTTCTTTCTTGATTGAGTCGAAAATCCAGATCAGACTGAAAATCCAGACCCATCCGCCACTGCACTAAGGATAGAACTAGTACAAGCGGGCACACCATGATAATTCGCAGAATCCTTTTGCTATTTTAATTACATCCGAACAACGCTGAATTTATTTGCTATAATAAATAGGCAAGCTCTATGATTACGTACCAACGAATCTAAAAATCGATAGATAGTTTAAAAATTACAAAGCGACAGAAGCAACTTCCTAATTGCGGAAAATACAACGCCTGACGTATTCAGTATAAAACATTTAGCGCGGATGAAAGAGAAAGACGCGTCGGCTATGTGAGTCGTCTATTATCAAAGGTGGCAATCTGTGCATTTGGACAAAAAAATGTTATTGATATGTCAATACAGATTGATTTGAATATAATCGTCTCGTTCCAAGAATACGGTTCAAAACCTGCATTAAATAAAGGTTAATACTTAACCTGTTATTTATCTAAGATGTCGTTCAGAAGAGTTTTGTAACTGCCAATGGAATACAAAGTCAATAATTCGTTTTTCTGATTTACCAATAATTGACCAAAAGTCACATTGCCGGCTTTGATAATAGTCGACTCATGTATACTCATATATTAAAATAACATTTATACCACTACAGTGTTTAGTCACATTTTTTAAGGGCAATAACTCTAAACAGTCAGTGGTGTGGTGGAGACCCTCGTCATTGGAAGCCACACGTCTTTCCTTTATTTAAGGCAATATAATTGACTCGGACATCTGACGAGGAATCTGGGCTCAAGCTCAAGGGATTTATTGCCAGAAATCTTCACACCATTAACGTTTCAGGATTATTTAACAATAATTCTTCAATTATCGATCGAATTAATCGAATTGCTGTGGTCTTCTTCAATTTTATACCATTACACTTTTTACATATTATTATTTTGTCAGTCACAGAAGTTTTTTCGTGCAATAGAATACCTACAAAAAAAATATATTCTCATATTTCTCTGTATCCTCGTTTCTAGTTAAGTATCGCCCCATCGTATAATTTTCATTCACTAAACCTAGCATAAGTGCCTGGCCTTTTTATTGCGATGCCAGTCTGGCGAATCCCAGGCACTCCGGCGTTCCTTCAAAATAGTAAAGCCTGCGCGTCAGCAGATTTTATTATATTAATGTACTAAAGTGCGCCTTACCAAAATGCAGTCGAAGACACAATATATTTTTGAATGCGTATTTACATTGTACTTCTCCCATTTCCGGAAAATTTTCAATACACAATTCGTAGCCAAGTACCATTAGCTATAAGTTGCTGACTAATACGCCTTATCCAATCGAGATAAATAATTGAAATGACGTTAGAATTGCAAACGCGTACTCTTCGAAAGAAAAGAAATTAGTGTTTCATTGTAGTCGAGTTTCGAATTTAACGTGAAGCCACAGGGTAGAGGCGACGGGAACTGCTCGTGACAGAGTTCGTAATTGTAGCGGGAATGATGTCTAACCCAGAAAAGGCTATATTAGCGTTGGAAACTAGCAGATTATCATAGCAGAACTATCAGTGGTGCTAATTGTAGAGGAGTACTATTAGCTCGAGAAAGCTGCCGTCAAAAATATATGTATTTTAAACTTATAATATGCGAAGGGAGGGCGTGAATCGATTTGCTATTTTGATTCACAGAGTTCGAAACATTTCAAGGCTAACCATTTGATTTAAGTAAAAAAAACATCAACAACTCATTATATTACTAAAACAAAGCCGTAAACTTAAGTAATACTTACTTTTACTCGTGGTAGGACCTCTTGTGAGTCCGCGCGGGTGGCTACCACCACTCTGCCTAATTCTGCCGTGAAGCAGTAACGCGTTTCGGTTTGAAGGGTGGGGCAGCCGTTGTAACTACTGAGATCTTAGAACTTATATCTCAAGGTGAGTGGCGCATTTACGTTATGGATGTCTATGGGCTCCAATAACCATTTAACACCAGGTGGACTGTGGGCTCGTCCACCCACCTAAGCTATAAAAAAAGTTCATTTGATTTCATTAAAAAAACGTCAACAACTCATTATATAACTAAAACAAAGCCGTCCTTAAGTAATAGGTACCAAACAGCGTGATTGTACAAAAAAAAAACTATGTAAAATATACACGCAATATCGTTTCGATTTATATGATCGTATTGTTGTCATCGAGTGCGAGAACAAATAATGTTTTCTAGACTATTTTCCGTTTTTCTCTAAACGACGAAAACAAGCACGCGGTGAATAGAAATTGGCACTTCGCTTCGGGGAATTCTGCGATAATATTGGTTTGTCGAAATATATGGCTAATGGAGTATTAATTTTATCACTATTAAGAATTAGGATTCGAAAAATATATACAGCTAGTAGATGTCAAAGACTCATGATTTACTCTTTATTTTTAAATCAAATGTTTGTTTTTAAGAAACATTTTCATTATGTACTTTTATTTGGCTTACAGTTTTATAAGACGACCTTCCTGCCCATTATTAACTCGGATATGATAGGTATTTGATTAGACAAATATTAGAGTCTAATTAAATTATCGAACAATTCGGTTGGACAGTGTTGGGTTGAGCATAAGGGTCGTAAAAGCGATTAAAGGATTAATCGGAGAACAGACAGTAACGTTCTCTTAGTGGTATATTCAGTGTCAGTACTACGATCGCGTAGTAGGTGGTATTGTGAGCCTGTTCGTGTACCTTGGAGACCTTGAATTCATGCCTTAAAGCGTCACGTTGTGGTATGACAATAATAATGACGACACGATATAGATTAACGTACGCAATCGTTTCAATAAATAAAACCGTTGATAAACTACATCTATGTACTTAGTTGATTTCTTAACACATCGGAATTCTCTTTTCAATTATCTAGATAGCGATTTCATTCTCGAAATAAGAAGAGCATCGAACAAAAAATATCCTGAATAGTACCTAGGCATCGATCACTGTGCCGTGTGCATTTGTTCCGAGGTTGTTTTGCGTCATTTGTTTCCATTTCCTCGGGAGCTGTCCTGGTAAATCGGACATTCTTATTCTGAACGAGCGCCTTTCTGCGTTCCCCGAAATATATAGGTCTTTCATTGTCATTCCCAGTTGTTTTTATATTTTATAAATGCTTTTTTTTTAATAAAATTGTTGCGAGAGAAACTATATTTGAAAGATGAGAATAGACATTGCTGTAGATGCCTGTAACTGGCTTACAGACCAGTATTTAATTTTATACATGTTAATTTTAAGCTTGAATGTTTTGTGTGTATTGCTGTTGGTGTGTCTAAATTAATAAATAAATCGACAAGTGCATGGAATAATAACATTGTAACTCAATTTTAGCTAAACAAAATTAATTTATTTATTATAAAAAAAAAGAACACAATATTCCTAACCTAAAAGTACATGTTATTATTGGCAACATGCTTCGTCAGATTACAGAAATAAAGTTATCGGCAACATGCTTCGTCAAAAAGTACAATACTTCCTTTCAGCTGCAAGCGTCGTCATTTAGCTAAATATGAGTTACAATCAAAAGGTGTGGTGGGATGGTAAGGCGAAAACCAGTGGGTTTTAGCTTTAACACCACACTCTTTTTTGAAAAAAAAAAACATTCTAGCATCGCTTTTTTTTTACTTAAGCTGGTTGTCTTAGAGGGCTATGCCAGCGTCACCGCTTGAGATGACATCGTAATGACAACTAATCACTATAGGAACACGTCAACCCCCTGTGATTTATCACCGAACTGCATCTCGGACGAGTCCTCTAAAAGATGTGGGATTGTAAGGAAAAAGTAGTAGATTTTAACAATGACACAAACATCTTTATTAAAAAAAAAATATGTGTGGTGTCGTGGGACACCGGATAGGAACGAAGTTCCTTATTATAAAAATATTAATTTTAAGTTCTATTCGAGGTATAAAGAAAATAAAACTAGAGCTTTCGCAATAACCCACGGACATTCGGTAACGTGCGAACTTATTGTGGTACACTTCATTCACGGCTGTTTGCATAAGAGTTTGTGTGTTGCGCAAACGAACGCTCTGAGATCGTGGTCAATTAATGATAAAAAAATTGTTATTTTTTGTAAGTTATTACAAAGTTAAGTCGTACACTGTGTGCATTACTACTAAAAATCTTACGTTACGGACGTTTTTTCCCGGTTAGGGTACCCCTCCGCATCGTCCCATAAGGAACTTCGTTCCAAAAATCACTTTACTACACTAAATAACAACTAATCACTGTAGAAACTTGTTATTCATTGCATTGCACGTGTCGAAATAATCATATCTGAATTCAGTGCAAGTGATGCCTTGAACATATTATCATATGAACGGTTTAAGATAAGTTGAATAACCGAAGAATTAATTATTATAAATGTGTTGTTGCAAGTGTGGTGGTCCGTGTAGCGGGAGATACGGGGTTGTCCCGGCGTGTTCCAGAATATATCCCAAATTAAACACTCCACCAACAGTTAATAGTTTGTATTTTGGTAAGAAGCACAAGCACAGGAAAGCAGAAAGAAGAAGTGGATAATTAATAATAAGTTCAAAATGATAAAATATATTTACTGGCGGTAGAACGATTGTTTATAATATTATAGCAGTGTCACATGCGTCGCAAGCGAAAGCGTGGTGCGGACTGGCGGGCGGGAGGTGACGTGACTGGCCGTCGTACGAGAGTCGAGCTTTTTACGTTTTGTTTATGCACATTACACCGTACGATTTTTTTGCATGTCTGCCACTGTGTGGAGGACGCCACACCACTCCCCTCCAGAGACCGTCCTACGGGCGATAATACATGGGTAATCGTACTGTTCTTCCGGAACGTGTTTTCTTAACAGGTCCTTCATTGGCTGGTGTCTTCTTTTCAGGTATCTCCTTTTCAGCAGCCTTTTCGTCGTGATTCTTTTTTATCCGTGAACAAGGTGGAAATGACGTGTTTCTTCCAAGATCTGTGTTATCTGTGAGTATATATGCAGGTTTTATTCTTTCTATTGTTACGGAAACTGGTTTCCCTTTTATTAACAGCTTGAATACCTTATCATTCCTTTCCAGTATTTCGTGAGGTCCGGTGTAAGCTGGTTGGAGGGCCCCCTTCAAGGCGTCTTCTCTTAGATAAACATGGGTTGTTGTAGCGAGATCCTTAAAAACAAATGTTGTTTTCTTGCAGTGCCTAGATGCGGGTTGCGGTTGTATATCTTTCACTATCGATCGGAGTCTAGTCATAAAATCGGTAAGGTCTTCTGTTTTGTTTTTGGATGAATGAAACAATTCCCCTGGTAATCGAAGCGTTTCTCCGTATACCAACTCAGCCGGACACGCTTGAATGTCTTCTTTAAAGGTGTTTCGGATTCCGAGTAAGACAAGTGGTAGTGATTCTGTCCAATTTAATGTTGAGTGACATACTATAGCAGCCTTCAACTGTCTGTGAAATCTTTCAACCATGCCGTTGCATGCAGGATGATAAGCCGTCGTTCGTTTGTGCTCGAACCCGACCATTTCAGCCAAATTCTTAAATAGGACCGATTCGAATTGCCGTCCTCTGTCAGTGATAACGGCGGTAGGGCAACCAAAGCGTGCTATCCATTCAGATATCAGGGCTTTAGCTACGGTTTCGGCGCTTATNTGTGGTGGTCCGTGTAGCGGGAGATACGGGGTTGTCCCGGCGTGTTCCAGAATATATCCCAAATTAAACACTCCACCAACAGTTAATAGTTTGTATTTTGGTAAGAAGCACAAGCACAGGAAAGCAGAAAGAAGAAGTGGATAATTAATTATAAGTTCAAAATGATAAAATATATTTACTGGCGGTAGAACGATTGTTTATAATATTAAAGCAGTGTCACATGCGTCGCAAGCGAAAGCGTGGTGCGGACTGGCGGGCGGGAGGTGACGTGACCGGCCGTTGTACGAGTCGAGCTTTTTACGTTTTGTTTATGCACATTACACCGTACGATTTTTTTGCATGTCTGCCACTGTGTGGAGGACGCCACACAAGCATAACAAAATGCCAATTTAAAATGATGATAATCTTTATTTACGGAGAATATTGGTCGTTATGTTACAAGTAAAATCATTGTTTAGTGATTTGCGTCTTTCAGGGTTTTTTGGTTTACTTTAAATGACAATGTGCATGATAAGTGAAAAAATTGTCAGAGTTTATTGACAAAATGTGGAATGAGAATCTTTAAATAATGTTAGCAAATACTATTGCTAAGCAAATACAGAGCTTTATTACTAAAGAGAAAGAGTCATAAGACCTTTAAATTGAACGCAACAGCAGCAAGTTTTACTGAAACATTTTAGTTCTACCACCAAAAATTTATACATCTAATGAAGATTCAACAAATTCTCGCCGGTTTTGTCCGTGGAAACTCAATGATTCATATTTCAAGCGTCATTGTGAGTTCCGAAGAAATACAGCCTTAAAACTCTCTAGGGAACGTAATATTGTGGAGAGATGGAAAATATTGTGGCAGTTTAAGCGAAATTTTAAGACTGGTCCGACGAATTTAAGAGGATTTTGTTTTTGTCATTCTTACAATGTTAATACAAGCTCAAAATAATTCCGAAATAGTATGTATATGAACATAGATTTTGAAATGGGTGAAATAGTTAATACATAAATAGGTATATATTATATACGCGGGTGGGTACCACCGCCCTGCCTATTTCTGCCGTGAAGCAGTAATGCGTTTCGGTTTGAAGGGTGGGGCAGCCGTTGTAACTATACTGAGACCTTAGAACTTACATCTCAAGGTGGGTGGCGCATTTACGTTGTAGATGTCTATGGGCTCCAGTAACCACTTAGCACCAGGTGGGCTGTGAGCTCGTGCAACCATCTAAGCAATAAATAAATAAATGTTGAGGTTTGCTAGTAAACGAGTATAAGTTTTATTAGATTATGTTCACAAATTTAACGTTCGTGACTAGCGGTCTTTTACAATATTATCCAATCTATTTTTTGTTTATCCAGTTCAGTAGATGGCTATTATGACAGATTCTAGATAAGTTTACGCAATTTTGTATATTGACTATAAATAATGGAAATATCTTCTCCATTTGATAAATATTGAGAGAATTAAAAATCACTGGTAAGTAGTAGCAGATACATAACTACAACTTTTTATTATATTAACGTGAATTTATTTATTATTTGGAATTTCGATATTACCAAAGCAAAGGACTGGCTGTTTCGAAGTACTTTTTCTCTTAGAAATTCAATTGTTTTTTTAATTAAATGACCTTATGGTATTTTTTCAGCTTTCATGAGTCGTAGACATCATCAAAACCAGTTTTAGGACTAGAACTACCTTTATTTTATTTTTTCTATCAATCGAATATTTTATTGTTTTCATGGATACTCACAACCAAGGTATCATTTGTCTACATTTGAATATCATCACCATCTAATTCAATGATCTTGTTTATGTTTAAGACTTTTTGATATCTACTTACGGCACTTATCTTAATACCTTAAGGTCAATCGTAGGTAAAGCTATCAACTATGTTCATATTTGGGTAACTGGAATTCATTGATATATGAAACATCTTATCAATCACCTACCATTGCATAACATATTCTACACAGGCCTCATCGACTAAGTTGTCTTCATGAGGACGGCATTTTACTGCTCGGTAACTTAATGTATTAGCTTCCATGATGTAGACAATAAACACACAATCCTGCACCCGGGATATCCGGCTCATTCGTCAGACCCTATCTCCGAGCGGGATTATCATTTTTCACTCGTACACGCGATATTTTTTCCTTTTCAATTAGTATTCGTTGCGATATATCTCTTGAAAGGCAGCCTTTTGTTTTTTCTTCGTACGTTTTGTTTTTTCAAAATCTCATTATGGCAAATGCCTCCGATAGTATATTTAATTGGTAAAAGGATATCCGTTAAAGGATATCCGGCTATTAATTAAGGAATACGTCTGAGTGACAGCGGCATCATGGCGACTATCACAACTCCCACGTCTTTATGTAATAATAGTATACTACGACACAAAATATTTCAAGGATCGTGGTATCGCTATTGTTTGCCCAGGCACTATAATTAAGAATCCTGTAAAAAATAGTAACTTTCGCTTTGTTATTCTATCTTTTTTCGTTAGTGTATATTATGGAATTACACAGGTTGAAACCCCTGTCCTGTCTATTTCTTCCACAAAGCCAAAACTTATTCCTGTCTCGAAGGAAGGTTACCAGTTATTCTTATACAACTTTGATTACCAGTAAGTATTTTGGGATCTGGATTGATAAAAAAATATATGACTTAAACCAACAGACAACGGTCAAATCAATAGTGAATTAACGAATTTTGAATACGCAGAAATCAGCTTAGTTTACGAGCACCATTTAATTGTAGCGGAACATTATTATTAGATATTAATAGAATTTCCAAACCATTTCAACAAAATGCTGGTCCCACGTTGTTTCCAAAATTAACGAATTATTGTCGACATTTTTGACGTGACAACATCTTATAATTCGATGGAGCCGGCTGCACGCACAAAAAAACATGACTCATTGAGGCGTTCCATTTAAGTCTTGAAGTGCAAGCGAGAGCGTGCAACGAGCGACAAAGAGGCACAATCAGCCTCCGCGTTCGGCAGCGTTCGACATCTGTCTCTCTCCTATTTGAGTGAGCGATGCATCCGCGTGGACAGCGGCTATACGATAATACATTTACATGTTTTCATCAAGTATGAAGTTCAAGTATGAAAAATGAATGTGGTGTCAATTGTTTATAGCAACGATAATTGCGATAATTGAAAAATGAAACCATTCCATCATTAATTTCTTATGACGTTGTCACGTTCAACTATCGTCAGTAAATCGACTTTACAGACAACCGATTTTGTTAAAGCTATGTTTTACGATTCGAAGGGAACCATCAAAACGAGGTATGTACCACACAAATGAGTAAACGAATTTCTGTGTTGTTAAATTCAATCCGAAACCAATGCTGCGTGGCGATCCCAAGCAATCTGTTTGCAAAAAAGCAAAATAACCCGACATCAGCGTACTTTATATGGCGTCGTTTACCTTGCTTCATGTGACACACTTTCGTTTCTATTCCTTTGACCACAATAAAATTGGACGAGAGTATATATCTTAAAATAATCATCGCAATTTTAAGACTGAAGAATTCGATTCTGTTGTTTCTGATAAAATCGCGTATGTGCTTAAGATTTTTGTTTTGTATTTTTTTTAAAAATGTCGGAGACGGTCATTAGTGTGGTAGCTAAACGAAACGCAGTACGATTCCCGAGAGATGGCAGCACGATTGCGGTATCGTTGGAACTCGGTTAACTTCGTGTTACGACAGAGCCTAGCCGATGGAGGCGCGTAGACACCTTCACACTTACCAACCAGCCTTCTTGAAGAGCGGTGCCTCCGTCCTAAGAATTATCATTCGTTTTTGTTTGCTAACGTCAAGAGAAGATCTCTAAATTGTTCTAAGACAACAAACGTGATTGGTGTACTCAATATTTCTCTTAGCTCAATCACCCTATTCGTCCCTACCATGTCTGACAATAGTGTTAATAATTATTGTGGCTTCTGCGACATATAAATATTTAAAACTAATATTGTGAAGACTGCTCCTAGTAATCAATGGAAATTTTGTTTTGTTTAGGCAAATGTGTCCAAACTATTGAAAGTTCGCACAATTGTATCAATTTCTGCGTCTATTATTTCTGATAATTATCCCCTGTCGCATTTTTATTTATTGCGTAGATGCTTGAATGGGCTTTCGGCGTATCTGGTGTTAAGTGGTTATTGGTTATTAGTAAAAAAATTGCACATGCTAGTACCTACTCGAATGAGGTGAAAGTATAACAATTTTTGTTTACGAGCTGCAGGATTATTCAAGCATTCAAGTCGGAAGTAACATTTCGATCAAATTCCAAATCAAGTCTTCTGTAAATTCAACGGTATTGTACCAAAAGCCCAGAACCCCTAAAATGGATGGTTAGATGAGGTGTGAGGCACATGTGTTTTCTGTTTCTCTTTATAAGTTATGGACGCCTGGTACCGAAGGAATTTTTTGTGTAGAATTTGACAAATCTTCTAGCTCACTGAAACCGGGTTTTGCAGACGGGTATAAAAAAATAAAACATGACCTTACAAGAAATGAGCTTTGTTCTTGTACATATTAATGGAATGTAATGTTGAAATATAGACCATTTAATACCATAGATAATACACATAAATTAGTTATAGATAAACAACTCAAGTACTCAACAAAAATGTTTATGGACTTCGGCCACTAGATGGCTTCGCTTCGATTATTTTCTCATTGCTCCTATAGATGGCAATAACATATTAACTATCCTATATTTAATTTTTGATGAAGGATTTTGTAAATTTTCAGAAACCACAAATTGATAAAATTTAATGAATTAGTCTATAAGAAATAAAGACTTGTATGTTTTTTATTTTTTTCTGTGTTTAGTTATATAATAATTAAATGCCTTCACTTTAACAACATATAAGTTTCGGGGCATCTACTATAAGATGTCGATAGTTTCCATACAAAAAATATTTGTCCTATAGAATAGCAGTTTCAAAGCCCTGTTTAATACAGACATTTAGACTTTTTGTCAACTC